TGTACCATTGGATACGATTATGCTTGAGGCAGCTCAAGAGAGTATTAGCCGCCAGAGGTTTGCGAAGACGAAGAAACTTTACACCTGTACGACAAGTTGTTGATGCAGTTGAGGAAGAACTTGAAGGAAGTGGATGTAGCATAGGATACCGACTAATGCATCAGAGATTACAAAATGATCGTGGACTTGTGGTCGATCGTGAAACGGTTAGAAAAATTGTCAAAGGTCTTGACCCTGAGGGTGTTGATTACAGATCTAGGAGGAAGTTAAGACGAAGAAAATACTTTGCCAAAGGTCCAAATTTTATATGGCACATAGATGGGTACGATAAGTTGAAACCATTCGGTTTTTGCGTTCACGGAGCCATTGACGGTTATAGCAGAAGAATTATGTGGTTGGAAGTTGGCCCCTCAAACAGCGATCCCCAGATCACATCTCAGTATTTTATTGACTGCATCTGCCAGGTTGATGGTGTTCCGCGTGTCATAAGAGGAGATTGTGTGAGTGAAAATGTTTATATAGCTGCGATACAGCGATATCTAAGGAAAGATCATCAGGACAGCATGGCTGGTGTCAAGAGTTTCCTTTACGGCAAATCTACTGCGAATCGAAGCGGATCGAGGCTTGGTGGTCGACACTGAGAAAAACCAATACAAACTGGTGGATCAACTACTTTAAAGATATGAGAGATACAGGGATGTACAATAGTGGTGATCTTATGCAATACAACTGCTTACAATTTTGCTTTATGCCAATTATTCAAGGTGAATTGCATACAGTCGYCAAAAACTGGAATTTGCATAAAATAAGGCCATCGTTACATAGTGATTCACCACGTGGAAGACCTGACGTCTTGTACTTCCTTCCCGACAGTCCAGACTTAAAGTCAGAAGTTGAGGAGAATGATCTGCTCGCGGCAGAGCAGATCTGCGGGAAGCAGAGACCCACCATGGGGTGTGACACATCATTTGCAGAGTTAGGAAGCATAATCATGCAAGAACACAATTTGCAAATGCCAAATACCCCAAACGAAGCAAAAGAACTTTATATTGAGCTGCTTCTTCACATCAATGACATCTTAAAGAGTATATCTATGTATGGATTATTCTTTTATGGATGACTAATATTTACTGAACAACGCTGTAACTGTTGTATAGTTTGTTTATGTCTAATAAACTGCTAATTCTGTTTTTACATGCTACTTATTTTATAACTGCATTTTAGGATAAGCATTGATCCAGCCTTAATTTGAGTGCCGGAGTATTTCTATTATGCATGTGATTTGT